CCGGCTAACAGTCGACCCCTTTTCTATCACGAGTACATATCCGGCACTAATATCAAGGCCTCTGAGTATACGCCATTGGGTCGAGTGATTGAGTTTAAAAACTACGACAATTTGGCCAGGGTGTTTCGCAAGTTAGGCGATAAAAGGCTGAGTTATCTGAAAAATTATGGTGAGGGCCCCCAGGGGTGGGGTATGTTGCCTACCGGGGACTCGTTGATTATGGTGGACAGTCACGATTTGCAACGTGGGCATACCGGTGACATCACAGTTACCCTGACCTATTTTGACGCTAAGTTACTAAAAATGGCCACCGCTTTCATGCTGGCCTGGCCCTACGCTATACCCCGTGTCATGAGTAGCTACTACTGGCCCCGGGATGTACAGGTAAGCGATAATATTTTAAAAAGCAATTACTCTGTATATCAAAAATATCGATTATCAAGGTAGTAAATTGTTGCATAGATACATGAGATTAGTTAAATATAAGAGTTAAGGGGTTTACTATACATAAAATAGTATCACTTCTTATCATTTAATAATTAAAATATTTGCCGCTTGGTACATTTAAAAATAATTTGTAAAAACTTTGATAATAATTTTATGATAGTTGCTTCAGTTATATCTATATTTTAAAAATAAATTTAATTATTAATAATTGTAATTATGATAACCAGAAAATTGGTCCTGATCATTACGCGGATAAAAACGATTGGATGGGTCCGCCCCACGACACCAACTGGACTATAGTGGACGTCCAGCGCAACCCCGACCTGACCTGTGATCCCAAAGTGTGGATCTGTGAGCACAGGTGGCGTCAGATCTATAATATGGTTCGGTTTAGGAATATAGCGGGCAATGAAGCCATGACTAACTGGTGGACCAATGACTACCACTCCATCGCTTTCGGCCGGGGAGGGAAAGCCTTCATTGCCATCAATAATGACGTCCAACCCATTGATAAGACACTACCGACTGGACTACCGGCCGGTACTTATTGCGATATAATATCCGGCAATTTGATCGGTAAATGAAGTTTTGAAAAAACATTTTTTGTTGAGAAACTAAATGTTTAATAAAATTTGTTTTTGTATAATAGACGGCAAATGCACGTCAAACCGGACTATTCAAGTGGGAGCCGACGGTACGGCACATATAACTGTGGACAACAAATGGGAAGACCCTATGATTGCCTTTCATATTAAGTCTAAGCTGTAAAATGTATTGAAAAATTATTATTTTAAGTTTAGTTTTATTATGGAATAAACTAATGGATTATTGTATTAATCGTAACTCCGGGTGCTATCACCCGAGATATACAGAAAACAATAAAAATATTTCTGAGCATTATTTATATTTTTTTTAATTTAACAACTTTTTAAATTACAAAATATTTTTTATTTTGTATAATTAATACGTTGGGAAATCTCTCTCTCTCTCTCTCTCTCTCTCTCT